CTCTGCCTCTCTCTCTCTCTCTGTGTGTGTGTGTGTGACTATCATAAATAAATAAAAAAAAAATAAAAAACAAAAAAAAATTAGACAAAATATTCAACTATTTTATTCTAAGCAAAATATATATAGAAAAGTTGATGAGTTAGATGTAATTTCATAAAACATTTATGCAAAAAAATCTCTAATTTTCCTTTATTCCATTGCATCTTTCAGAAAAGCAGGACAGGGTTCCCAAGTTCTCCACTATAATTCTCTTCGTTTAGATTTATACATGGCTCAAGGAATAAATCTTACAGCCTTGACCCCAGCTGAAGAGTCTCCAAGGACAGTCTAGAACACTTTTATCCTAACCACTAAGTAAGTTCTCCCATTGCCTTCTCTGCAGCTTGGAATAGATAGAAAATGAAATCAATGCCTTTATATTCTCCAGGTTTCAGCCCCAGAAGACAGCAAGATAATGCAAAACAAACAAAAAAAAATGTAATTTGTGAGAGAATTGCAGAACATATGACAACAATTGTCCACAGTATAAGTTTGCTATTTAAGAGAAAGAAGTCTAACAAAACAAAGAATGACAACAATGAAAAAATGCCCCAATATTTTCTTGAAAATCTAAAAGCTATGAGAATAAAGTAAAACTAGCAGAAGCTGGCAATGGCTGGGTTACATAGATCTCTTCCACAGCTCAAAAGTTAATGATAAAAATAAGTGTGATAACAAATGTTAAATTTATGCAACGCTTACTAAATCTGTAACTAGATTTCTATACATACCTAAATTTTATTTAATAATTATTGTTCTCAAAATCAGCATAGCGAAACTAATTATCCTTGTATCAAAAACGTGCAAGTTTATGTTGCCACTGCCAATTACTAAAGAGAAATTTATTAAATTAAAAAATCATATTGAGTTATGAAAATGGGATTTTAAGGGCATCTGTGTAAGTCACTAGAAGTAGCAAATAATAACAATACGAAAGAACAAGAAAATAATAAAAGTAACTTCAGATCAGTGAGGGATTTTTTAAATTAGTTTTTAATTACATTCCAGAGATCCATAAAAAAAAATTCAGGAGTAAAATTCATCATTATCACAGTTTTTTATGCAAAAAATAGAATTTTTCTTAAGGGCAATGTGGTAAAAGAACTGAAAAAAATAACTTTTTTTTTAAATCACAGCTAATAAGCATTTAAAAATAAAAGTTTTAAAAAAAAAGTTTTCTAAAGTCAGAGAGAATAAATAAATGCAACTGAAATAACATATTGGCCTCAATTTCCTTTCTACCATGCAAACAATTCTCCATACCTGCTTCTCTTCTGCTTCCAATGTAGAATTCTACTTGATTTGATACACTGTATGATTAGTTGCTTGCAATACCAGTAAAGAGTAAACAAAGCATGACCATACACCAACTCAAGGTAAAAGCTTTCAAGAATGTAACAGACATCAGATATTTTCCACACACTTTGTACTAGCTCATTTAAAAAATGATTATTTTTACCTAAGAAATAGTTATTCATATAGCACATGATTCTTCTAACTAGGAAAATACGTATTTTTGGCATATCATATGTATGTGCATTACTTATTACTTTTCTATTCCATTGTTTTTATGTTCTAACGGCATCATTTGTTTGCATAGATACAGTAGTTCTTTTAAATAGTAATCTTTCATAAAAATTAGATAAAATAACTGGCAATCTTTTTTTTTTTTTTTTTTTAAAGAAAAGGCAGTGTATCTTTTGCGGTTAAGAACATAAAGAGAGGGAATCCCTGGGTGGCGCAGCGGTTTGGCGCCTGCCTTTGGCCCAGGGCGCGATCCTGGAGACCCGGGATCGAATCCCACATCGGGCTCCCGGTGCATGGAGCCTGCTTCTCCATCTGCCTATGTCTCTGCCTCTCTCTCCTTCTCTCTCTGTGACTGTCATAAATAAATAAAAAAAAAATTAAAAAAAAAAAAAAGATTCTTTAAAAAAATAAAAAAAAAAAGAACATAAAGAGAGCCTCTGTAAGTATGTGTTTGAAACTTTCTGCCCTTATATAATAACACCACCACAGTGTGGTCACTTAATGCAGAATAAGAAAAAATATCTGTATACTACTCATTTGCTTTTTAATCACATAAGGGTAAATATAAGGAAAATGTGTTCATTTTTAACGACAAAAATTTCATTCAAAAATGTTTGGACAAACCACACACCCAAGACAGGACTCCAACTAGGGGTTTCTTTCTCTACAATGTTCAAGATTGGAACACACTGTGAAATCAATTCAGTAACCAGGATTTTTCAAAATATCCAAACGTTAGCATCCCATAGAAAAGTTCTAGGAAATTTAACAGGCTGTTTTAACTTTGTGATGATTTGTCAAAATTTAAATGCAACTCACAAGGTCAACGTCAACTAATTGGTCCAATGGCCCATTTAATTTATTCAACTTCTTGCCTTCACTCTTTACCTTTATCTCCCAAACTCTTTCTCCCAGTGGTTGAAAATAATTTGCATGATTAAGCTGATCAGAATCCAAGTGGGTTCCTTACTACATCAAAGAACAGTATTTTTCCATAAGAAACCAGAAGGCGGTGCTAAGTCTAGGTTACTACATTCAAAGATTTTAAACCAAAACACACACAGAATAGGTGATCAGTTTAAAGAGCTGTAGAATTCCCAGTATGATTCATGAAGGAGGAAATAGAACTTAACATAGGCATGAAATATAATGAATTATGACTACTAAATAAATGAGACCCTAACATGACTTAAAGGTTCTTAGTGTGATCTTCAGAATTCAAAGCACAGCTACGTATTTGTTCCCACGTTAAAATCCCGTGAACATCTTTGTCTGCCCCATTATAGTTTCAATCTCATTTGGAAACATCATATAGTAAAGGCTTAAGCGCTGCTCCAATCTTAAGACTCGATTACGATTACGCCCACCTTAGGGCAGCAACTAGTCTTCTAAATGAAAATTCTGGTTTGATTACTCAAGTTTTTTTTTTTCTTTCTACTCACTCTTTTTCTCTCTTTCAAAAGAACTCAGTGATTCACAGCACATATAACCTGATAAGAAATATTATACTCATGCATTAGTTTGCATTTTAAATAAATGAGCACTTCTATTTTTATCTACATATGATAAAAGTGGCTTTTTAAATGCTTTTGCTAGCTGCTGAAACCATATCAAAGACTGTATTTTATTAGTAATGTGCTCACTATACACCAAAAAATCAAAACTTAAAGCTTAGTAACATAACACTTGTGTCAAATCTTAGAACGAGACCTGTCATGGTATCAAGTCTGATAGCCCACAGACCAGACACGAGCTATCTTCCTTACATTAATGCAACAGGACTTCAACAGAGAAAAGCTAGAGTACAAAAATAACTGCAACTTCCAAAGACCACTGAGAGTGCACTGTGAATTTTTTTTTTTAGAAAAAAAGCTTTCTACACATTGCAATAATTTTTCATCTTCTACAGATAAATGATCATGTGTACTCCTAACTCTTTCACCACAAAGAGTAAACAAATATAGGCATAAAACTTTTCATTCCACCCACTGAGGTTACAGACCTAGAGAAATATTTGCTCTAAAAGCCATAGCGTATGTAATTAACCCATTTGTTATGGGCCCTTTTGTATGCTGGAATCCGTTTGGTCTATAGATACCCTAGAAGAAAACTTAATCTTAGAAGTAAGTGATTTCCTTTGCTTTCTATCTGCCTTCACAAAAACTGAAATTACATACATATGACAAATGCAAGGCTGAACTTTTCATTTATGAAAAAAAAAAAAGAAAGAAAAAGAACACCAAAGCTTCAAAATCAAATCATTTAAGCAACAGTCACCCTCCAGATTTCAAGATTTAAAGTACGACAAGGAATTTGTTTGGACAGCAAGTTTTCCAGCAGACCCTGTCACTGTGTTTGAGGACAGAGAAGCCTTTTTATTACCAACTGGTACACCTCCAAAAAGCAGTGCTAGATGATACTGGAAATCTCTTAAAACTCCACAGACTATTGTCAACGCAACTGCAAAGCTGCCAAATGCACCGAAATCCATCACACCATTAGCAAGCCCTACTACCCGCTGCCCTGCGCCCAGTTCTCAGGAGTGGGGCGGGCGGGGAGGCGGGGGACGGGGGGGGGGGGGGGGCTTTGGCACCACTAGCAGGTGGCTAAGAACAGGAAAAACGCTGCCCCTTGAAAACTTAAATAAAAGGCTATTTTTGCACCTTCGGGGTTGTAGGCTCTTGAACGCCAACCTCGCAGCTCCAACTGCCTGCCCATCACAGAAAGTAACAAGTTCCCCACCCCCTGGAGGACAGGACGCCAGCCAGCGAGCGCATCACAGCAAAGCCACACGACGGGGGGGGGGGGGGGGGGCGGCGGGGGGAGCTCCGGGGACCCCGGCGCTAGGAAAGCAAAAGCCCTTCGGAACGAGCGACGCGGGCTGCGCTGGGCAAGACCCACTGCGCGGCGTGCCCGCGGCCGAGGGGAGGAGCAGGAGTTGCGCGGGCGGGGGCAGGTGCCATCCCCGGGCAGCTGGAAAGGTGTGCGTGTGCAGCCCCTCCGGAGGATGCCGCCCCTGCGCTCCCCGCCCCCCCCCCCGCGCACCGCCCCGCGCGCCCTCGCCCCTCCGGCTCCGCAAGTGGCCCTCGGAGAACTCACGGGGCCCGCGGAGCTGACCTGGGCGCAGCCTGCGGACCCGCCGCGTTTGGCGCACATCCGACAACGATCCCGAGGCGGGGAACGCACTTGGGCTCCCCCCGGCTCCCGGCTCCCGGCTCCCGGCTCCCGGCTCCCGGCTCCCGGCTCCCGGCTCCGGGCTCCCGGCTCGGCTCGGACCCGGCCCGCGGACGCACGCGCGCGCACACACACTCACACGCTCACACGCGCGCACACACGCTCACACTCACACGCGCGCGCGCACCCCCAGCGCCTTCCCGGCCAGGACCGGTGCAGCCGTCGCAAACCCGGGAAACGCCTCCGAGGGGACCAAGTACCTGCTCGCTGCGAGCTGCTCAGCTGTTCACTCCGTCCTCCGTTGACAAGGAAACCAAACCGCACTTCGCTTTTTTTTTTTTTTTGCTTTTTTTTTTTTTCCAGAAAAACCTTCCACTGCCATCATTTGAAAATTGATTTACGGGGAAGGGAAAGGGGAGGCAGAAGGGAGAATATATAGGTATCAGGATATCGATCGTAAAATTATCTCGGGGTGGTTCTTTTTTTTTCTTTTCTTTTCTTTTCTTAAAAAAAATTTCAAATGTGCAAAAGTCATAGTTAATATAAAGGAGGGGGAGGAAAAAAGTATCTTGCTTAAAAATCATCCCAGTAACCAGCTGCAAGAAAAGTTTCACGTTATCAAGGGGTGTCAAAAACAGGAGGGGGGGGAGAAAAAACGGATTTGTTCTCACCGGCTTCCAAAAACGGCACCAAAAAATTAAAAAAAAATAAAATAAAAAAAAATAGAAGATGAAGGTCTTTGCTCAGTGGTTTGTATCGCAAAACCACAAACTTGTAAACACTGCCGTAAAATCCCACCTAGACAAAAAAAAATCTGATCAGAAAAAGAGTATGCCAAAAAAAAAGAAAAAAAAAGAAAGAGTTAGAAACATGCTTTTTTTTTTATTATTTTTACAAAGGGGGGAAAAAATTAGGCACCGTACTTCACGTCGCTTTTTCCATAAAACCAGTTGCACATTTTGCTGGACTCGGGAGTCGCTCCCAGCGGGCACGGCCGCCGCGGGCTCCCGGACACAGCGCCTCGTCTACAGAACCATCGCCTGCTAGAAAAACTTGCATTCAGGAAAAGGCTCAAAACCACGCTCCTCCAGCTTTCCCCAATAGAAACAATAATCAAAGAAGTGGAGAAAAAAAAAAAAAAAGAAGAAGAAGAAGAAGAAAAACAAAAAACAAAAACAAAAAAGAACCAAAAAAAAAGGACAAAAAAAATAAAAAAAAAAGAATAGGACAAGAATGCCACTGAGAAGGTACTCACCGAGCGGGAGTAAAATGTTGGAATAAAAATGAGATTTGGTATAAAATACAGTATGGCGGTGGAAGAAGGAATGAAGCGCGTTTTTTTCTCCCAGTCTCTGCCTCAGGCACGGACACGTGACTCGGAGCCAGGCTGACTTGCAGGCGGCGGGGAAGGGCCGAGGCTGCGAGGGGGGGAGCCCCACGGAGCCCGGCTCCCGCGGCGGCGGCGGCGGCGGCGGCTCCCGGCGAGGCTGCGTCCGCTGTGAGCCCGGCCGAGCAGGTGCCGCTCACGCCGAGGCTGAGCACACGCACACGCACACGCAGGGCGGGCAGGGCGCGGGCGAGAGGGGGAGCCGAGCGGGGTTGGGCCGGAGGCGCGCAGCTGCCGCCGCCGCCGCCGCTCCCGCCGCCGCTCCCGCCGCCGCCGCCGGCAGCTCCGCGCGTGCAGACCCGACGCCTAAGGAGAGGCGGGCGGGGGCGGGGGTGCAGGGGGGCGGGGGGGTCCGCAACTTGCGGCTCACCTCCAAGTTGCCCGAGCCGGCCACTTCCCTAGGCATGCATCTATTATCTCGTTTTATTTATTTATTCCTTTTGCAATCTCTAGGTAGTTACCTGCGGAAGAGATCCCGCCCCTTGCTCTCCCGAAGTTTCACTCTTAAAAGCCCGATTTAACTCCTTCATTGTAGTCCTCCCTGACTCCCCTTCCCCGGCCTCCTCCCTCCGAGGCCGCCGTTCCCCGCCTGGCCCCCAGGTCTGCGCTGCCCCCCGCGCGGCCCCGGGGCGGGGACGGCGCGGATGGAGCGGGCGGGGGGGGGGGGACCGGCGCGGCGCGATGCTGGGGGCGTGGCCTCGGGCCCCCGAGGGGGAAGGTGGGCAGGGCGGTTCGGAAAAGCCCGGGGCGGGTTTCCTTTGCGCGCCGCGGAGCGATGGGTGGGGGTGGGGGGGTGGGGGGGCGCATGGGTGCCGTTCGCGCCTCCGGCCGCCGAGCGAGCTTTGTTTGTCGGGTCCGCGTGAGCGCGCGTGGCTCCCGGCGCGTGGGGCGGGCTCCGCGGGGCGCTGTCCGCGGCGGGGGCGCCCGCCCGACTCTTGCTCAAGTTGCGGGCTGGGGCTGCCGGTGGGCGGAGAGGTTCGAGGGAAACGAGTGAGTCCATTGTGTGGGTGCGCTCCGGGAGGGGGGGAGCCACGGAGGGAGCGAGCGAGCCCTCGGCCGCCGGGAGGGGGAGCCGTGCACCCGGAGCCCGGCGGTGGCGCAGCCCGCGCGAGCCCAGGTGGCTGCGCCCGGATGGGGGAGGGGGAGGGCGCGGGGGGGCGGGCAGGCATTTCTGCACCTAGCACGCGGGGCTCGGTGCAGGCCGCCCGAACAAAGATGCCATCGGCCAACTGCAGGCTGCTTTGGGGTTCTTCGGTGGCTGCCTGTTGAGGAATCAGCTTTCTGGGCGCTGGAACACATGGACTTTCTTCATGTCTGTGCCCTGCCGACATCAGGACCAGTGTCCCCCACCCCACCCCACCCCCGGGTGCTGCTTTGAATCCGGGGTGACTTGGCCTCGCTGTGCTGGAGCATGAGCAATTAACACAGCCCCGCAGTTCACAGATTGCCGCCCCTGATCTTTTATCTCCGTGTTTCTGATGTTGACATTTAAAGATAAAATGCGTCTCCATCCGAGATGATCTAACCTGGACGGCTCTGAAAATTAAGTACACGTCCACTACAGAGAGCTTCCACTGCAAATATGTTTCTCAAACACCCTGGTCAGAATTCATTGACCAAATAAAGTATTAATCCCCAGTTCAAATAAAAGAGGTTTAAAATAACCATTAAAATGTCATTAAACATTTATTTTGGTGAGTTGCCAACTCTACACCCACTTATTATACCTACATTAGAGTTAGGATTGCTGATTAAGAATAGTTACTGAAAAAGATGAATGCATCAAGGTGGATTTGGTAACTTCGGAAGCCTCTTTGAGTTCTATTGGGAAATCATAGGATTTTAAGCTGGATGATACAGATCAACTGTGCAAAACATGTTGGGCTTTTTTTTTTTTTTTAAATATGATCTCTTCACATGTGGTCTTTTTCTTCTCTGAATCATGAATAAATTTTGTCTGCCATTAAAACTTAGTTTGCTGAATTTTCCAAATCTTTTTTCTTCCGTGTCAAGAAATATCTGATTCGAATAATTTAAGGAGAAAATACTATGTCAATGCATATGTTCCATCACCTGTATCACAGCAGTATCCAAATGTGAGAACCTTCATTTTGAAAATGAGTTCTGAAACTTTCAGCTAGCCTGGGCAGTGCCTGGGTTTTGAAGAGTTATGCAAGAAGAACTTTGAAAAACAAGCTGTTTAGAATTACACTGCAGTAATGGCCCTCAGCCAATCACAGTGATTGTCAGGCTTTTATTATTCAATAAAACGACTCCCCTTTATGTTGAACGCAGTTCTGCTGAAGAAAAAGCAATACATCAATATCCTCCCTGCACATTTCCCATTTGCTTACATAATTACAGTATGGTGCTCAAAATATTCCACTTATTTTATTTCCATGTGCCATTCCTTTAGGTTGCATCACCCCCCACGAAAACCAAGAAGACTTGAAGTTAGATAAAAAGAACTAGTAGTTACTAAGCATTGCTTCTCATTTAGTTTTTGTGACTGCTCTAGGAAACTGATATTACTATACTTATTTTACAGGTTAGGAAAATTAAGTTAGATAATTAAAGTAATCTGCTAAGGATCCCATGGTTAATACATATTACAGGTGGGATTGAACCAACATTTTATCTAATTTTACAGCTAGAATAAAATATTTCCCAAAAAAAACCATGATAGTAAATATTTTCGATTACAGCTACTAATACTAATTAACAAATGCATAATATTCTGAATAAATGAAGTAGATCTACACAAAACATTTGTGGGGATTGATTTGGCTATATTATTCACCACATGTAATATTAGTAGTACACGTTACTTTCATGCATTATTTTGATTCCACAAAACACAAAGAAAAGAAACAAGCCTTCAAAAGGAGAGATTTAAGAAGTTACTTTTTTTCTTTAGCAAAAATCTGTACACGAGATGTGGTCATATACTTCCTGGTCACATTCTCCGGGGTTAACTATAGAAACATCATAAAGAAAAGTTGCAATTGTGAATTGTTCCTTTTTTTTTTTTTAAGATTTTATTTACTTATTCATGAGAGACAGAGAGAGAGAGAGAGAGGCAGAGACACAGGCAGAGGGAGAAGCAGATTCCCCGCAGAGAATCCAAAATGGGACTGGATCCTAGGACTCTGGGATCACACCCTGAGCCAAAGGCGCAACTGCTGAGCCACCCAAGCATACACCAATGTATGCTTTTATATCCAATGCCCTCAAATCATTTTCTCTTGTTTTGCTTAATAGTTTTTTTCACAATTGGGTGATTTTAAGTATTGATTAATTTAATTTTCCCCATTATATGTCCTATCCCAACCAATGAACATCCTTCACTTATGCTTTTCTTTAAAGTTTGGATGGTGTCCTTTATTTTTTCCAGTATTTTCATTGGAGGAACTATAAATACCACAACTCATGAAATAATTTGTACAAATAAAGAGTGTTTAGTAGATAGAAAAATAAATAGTCAAGATATGAGTAAAATAAGAAAGAGCTATCAAAATTTCCATGTAATTTCATTTTTAATACTTATTTCATTCTTCATGTAATATAGTTTATGGAATACAAAAAATTCAAGGATGAACAGTAAAACACATCAAAATTTCTTATGATTTATGTACACATGTTTATTTTCAAACAAATTAATGAAATAATTATATTACTAGGAAAATTAATTTAAAACAAATTAATATGCTTACTATTATTCTTACTTTGGATGTGTTTATTTTGCATTACATAGATTGAGTGTAGTTTTATGATAAAGTGGCCTCTGGCAAAAGTGATAAGAGGGTAAACACAAGAAAGCTCTGATGAGTTTCCTCATAAATACAATTTAGGCACAGAGAGGGGGAAGAAAAGCAGCACATGACATGTTCAGCGTTCTGCACCATTTGTTGTTTTTCATTGATTACTGATCTGACAATCATTCATTCTAAAGGGGCTATAAAATATATCAGTTCATAAATTTATAAGCTACACATCCAAGGTATCTCTTAGATTTGCAGAGTTAAAGATGAAAATCTGGCAATCCCAGGGCCAGAATTAAACCTCTGAAAAGGTACTAAAGGTTAAAAATATTAAGTTAACTTTAAAACATTTCATTATGTATTGATATAATACAAGCATATAAGAAGCCTGAAGGAAACAAAAAAAGAAAAGGGATTTATGCAAAACAAAAGTGGGAAATATCATAAAAAGGAAAAATGCGTGCCATTTAATATTTATGTACTGCGTTTATATGCTTGACATATATACTCTTATAAAATCCTCATAATCAGAAACTGAGGTTCTGAAAGACTATCCTATATCAGGGATATAGGACAAAAATGGAACAGCAAAGAATTTTCATTTCTAGTGAGACCGCTGTAGACCATGCAACAGAAAATGTAACTCTGATGACAAAGTTACATATGTTCCAGGGCCAAGAAATTGAGGAAATGATAGAGAGTGAGGAGTGGAAGGGAGGAAAATAGAGACAAGCAAGAAGGATGAGTAGAAAAGAAGGAAGAGAGGAAGCAAGGAGAGAAGAGAAGAAAGAGGAAAGGAAATTTTAAGGCCAAAAGCATTGGTTGTGGGGGGAGAGCTGGAAAAATCTCCTTTTAAAAAAATACATGAGAAATATAAGACAAGTGCAAACACTGGACAGATTTAGGTCATACAGATGAGTCCTAAGACATGTGACAAAAAAGTACATTCGAAAAATATTGCAGACTTTACACTATGTTTCTTTAGTGAAACTAAATGTTGCCTGAAAACTCTAGAAAACAATCTTGCTGAGGTTAACAAAACTAGGTACCAGATGAAGTCACGTTTTTAAAAAGGAAGAATCAGAAAGAGCTATCTTCATGTGTGTTTAAAAAATTAAGAGATTCATTTATCCTAATGATCATGCCTGGTAACAGGAGACAATATGAGTTCATTGGGAAATTAAGTTTGCCTAAAAAGAACAATCTTGAAGATGCGTGAGAGAAACTGACATTTTTTTGTCTACCCACAAGATGTTAGACTGAAAGATATGAAGTAGCTCCTTTATAGATAGTGATTTTGTACAGTTATAGGTAGGATTCTCCTATTGATTTTTTTCTCTTTGTTTACTTGTTTTAATTTTTAAAACCTGGGTTTAGAGATGATATGGATTTAAATGTCCGTATTAACTTAATTGTCTGGATTTTTTTTTCTTTGAAGTAAGGGTAATTCATTTGTTATTTATTTAGAGATTACAGCATTCAAGAGATGAAAGTATGAGATTAGTTGGTTATTATCAAATCTCAGGCTCCTATCAATAAGAAGCACTTCTAATTTCCATGAAGTTTTGTAAGTTATTTATTTCTATTGATACAAAGCTTACATTTTGAAAACAAAATTTCCCTAGGAATGAAACTAAGCGTTTTCGGAAGCCAGGTAATTACAGTGGAATCATTTTATGCTGACAAATCATGTGACAACATACTCTGTAAGCCGCTACTATAGAGCTGAACACTTGAATAATCAATACTTGTTCATGCACATCTTCTGCACTAATGAATGTATGAATAGACTTTTGCTTAAAAACGATGATAAGAAATAGTTATATATGATATGTGGTATGCATAAATCTGGATTTTCCAGATTCTATTTTTGGTGTCATTGAAAAATAAATAAGTTATTTTTGTATAACTTTTCTTTTTTATATTTTTAATTTGCTCTGATATTCTCCACCCTCTTTTTTATTTCTGTCTCAGAACTCAGATCTCTTCTGTCTTCTTATATATATTCTGAGCATCTATATGGGTCAGGGTTAGGACATACTAATACATTAATTCCTTGACTTTTACTTTTATTTGATTCATGGATATCTTCTGTACTAGCAAATGTCTGAATAGACATTTGGCTAAAAAAAAAAAACTATATTAGGACATCGTCAATTATGTATGTGATATATATGTGACTCTATTCCCCAGATTCTTTTTCCCCCCATGCATGTCTCCCTCCTCAATGTGGAGAGGGGTCAAACTTATTAAGTTCTAAAAAGATCACAGCTCTTGGCTGTTTGGCTTTAGGGTAGTAAATTATTTGTTATTTTATTCATTTAAAGCTCTAGAGAAAACAAGAGCAAAGATCAAACACAGACTTTCCAAATAAAAGTATAATGATCTACTAGTAGGCCACTGGGCAAAATATGAATATTTCAAACTACAAACTTATAAATACACAAACATTCCAGTTAGGCCTCACATCAGAGAAAAGCACCACACCGTTTATTACAAGTACTCATCTGTCCTTGCATGAATGCCAGTCTCAGACACATTTATCTGTACAAATTACATAAAATCAGATG